ATTTGGATATTCCTTTGATCCTCGGGTCGCCCAAGTTATTAACCAGAACCTTTATGTGGATGACTTGCTCGTGTCGTTTGATTCTATTCAGTCTGCAATTAATGCAGTAAAGGATGTCCAATCTTTGTTGAAAAGGGCCAATGTCAGGCTGCACAAGATCAACTCTAACAGCACTGACGTTCAGGGAAACAGAAATTCCAGGAAAAAAGGTCCCTAAGCTCTGGCTGAGAGCTCACAGCCTCTCAGCCTCACAGCATCAGAGGGAAAACAGCCCTAAAGTTTCCAAAGAATTCTCAGAGAGAGGACAGCATTACAGATCCACGGAACTCCAGCTGAAATATCTACAAGCCTCAGCTGGTAGGTCTACTCGATGCCCAGATGTGTTTGGAATCGGTAGTAGTACCCACACTAACGAGGCATAGATAGTAGACACCCTGGGAGAGGTTAAACAGGGTTTTTTCTTATAGAGAAAGTACAGTTAATCAAAGTCAGGTACCTATTTCTTGAGGACTAGACTAAGAAAGTCTTGAAGTTTTGTTTGAACCATTGAAGATTTGTTGTTTGTTTCATAATAAAGACTTTGTTATAACATTAAATCATTAAAGACTCTAAAGACCATCACTTCAGAAAAATCCCTGAGAACCTTTCTTTGAGGTACCCCAGCTTCCCGCTGGGCGAAAGTATATGTCCTATATAAAAGACAATTGTTACTGGCCCAGCGCATGACAGAACAAAGGTTGCAAACATTTCCTTTATCACTACCTGTTCTTATCAGAGTTTCTCATTAGCAACTCCAGCAAGCAGGTCATTGCAGGCCTTAATATTATACTGATGTCTCCAAAATTATTAACTCCATCCATGCATCCTTCCATTCTTCCATTCATTCCCACAGATCATATTAAATTCACATTTCTCAAATCTGCACATTGAATTTCTTATTACACCAAACTTGGCACACATAACCCCCATAACCCCCTGTACGTCCTGGTGAGGTATGGGGGAGGACGGACAAGGGATTATGGGATTTGTAGTACTTTCAAACCCTTCGGCTCCCACAGACCACTGTGGCTCCCCATGACCCAATATATATCCTGCTGTGGTTTGGAGGAGGGTGGACCATGGATGATGGGACTTGAAGTACCTCCACTCACTTCTCGAGACCGCTGCGACCCTCATTCAATGACTGATCAAGACCAAAGTTGGCACACATGACTCACTCTACATCCTGGTGCAGTTTCAAGGAGGATGGACCATGGAAGATGGGACTTGAAGTACCTTAACTCACTTCCCGAGACCGCTGCAACCCTTATACAATGACTGATCAAGACCCAACTTTGCACACAGAGCCCCCATGGCCCACTCTACATCCTGGTGCTGTTTGGAGGAGGATGGACCATGGATGATGTGACTCGCAGCAGGCCTGTAGCGAGGGGTGGGGGTTAGGGGTTCAAACCCCCCCCCCCGACATTTTTCAGGTTAAAAAAAATAAACCTGGTTTACTCATGAATTTTAACTGGTTTACTCATGAATTTGATTAACTGGTTAACCAAATCCCCATGCTAAGTCTATGAGACACAAAAAATTAAGAGTCCCTCCCTGCAAGCACTATCTCAAGCAAATATTGACAATTTATTCACACTGTCATTACTTGCAGCAATAGCCGATGTAGCGAAGCAACCAAGTTGGGGGGGGAGTGTTGAATGCTCTCAATAAGGAGGCCAGACTTGGTGGAGGTGGTTGACGGGCGGAGCTACAGGCTATTGAAGGCTGCTCTGCCCCTGCTGTGCTCTTTGCTTCAGCATGAGCTAAGAGGCAGGTTTCAACTCCCCCCCCTGAAATTTTCAAAAACCCCTCTGAAATTTTCAAAACTCCCCCCCCCCAAATTTTCAACCCTCCCCCCCAAAAATATTTGGCTACGGCCCCGACTCGCAGTACCTTCACTAACTTCCTTAGAGCACTGCGAGCCACATAAATAACTGATAAAGACCAGCCTTGGCACACAATGGCTTTCGCAAATAATCCGGGCACCACCGGGTCCCCGAGCTAGTAAATAATAAAAATAAGTTCACAGTTGTGTTCTGTAACGGCTTTCAAAGGTTTGTGAAGAAAATATGGTAGTGATGGAGCAAGCAAAGAAAATAGTCAAATGCTTATTGAGCACTGATTGAAGGCAAACTGTAAACTGTAGATGGGTCTGCGACGTAAGGGTCTCTCAACTATCTTCTCTCATACTTGGTGTGACGATGTGTAACTTTTATTCTTATGGTTATGTGTTGTTTAAACAGTAGTTAATAAATGGTAAGTATGAAGGATTATATTTTGTTAGAGATGGTGGCTGGTGGCTTGAGCTGAGTTGCCATAGCAACGGGGGCGGAGCCAACTGCCTCTTCATGGGGCAGCTGGTTGAAAGTGGCAGTCTGTAAGCCAGTGAGCTACAGGGAAGACTGAATCTCTGGGTGGAGATTCAGGGAATTAATTTGTGACCAAAAGGGTTACAGGAAAGGACCCAGTAGTGATAAAACTACAGGGAGTTATTGATTCTGGGTTAAGAATCAAGGTTTGGCCGGGAGCCAATTCTATTAAATAAGCCTTTCAGCTTATTTGTTTTATTAGGACAATTGTCCAGGAGAGATACATCTGCTTATAGAAACCTCTTGAAGTCTGTGCCTGAGGTTACTCATGAAACCTTACTAATGTAACCAGTCAAGATTCGTGCCTCTTGTGAAGAAACAATCAAAAATGTTATACCTTGCTTGTTCCAATAAAATTGTTACTGTTCTCCTCAAGCCTTGCCTGATACAGTTTCTCTTAAGTCAAACAGCCTGCATAAGAAGCAAAACCAAACCAGGGACAGAAAACGCTACGCTGTCAATACTTCTGTAAATAATACTTCAATACTTCTGTCCCTTTATAAACCAGCTCATAAGCTGATATTGATCATTGCCCGGCTTTCCTCACAGATTAGGTGGCAGTAATTTTACCCTCCTTCACACTTGGATATAGAAGTAGTGCCCAAGTTATGAACAAGATAGGTACTGCAAGTTTGTTATTGAGGTGAATTTGTATGTAAATTGGAACATGTACATTTTAAAGTGTAACTCCAGTATATATACACACACAGAGAGGGGGAGGGTAGCTTTGGATAGCATAAGGAAGGCTGTGGTGTTTGTTTTGCTTTTTGTGCCCCATCCAGAAGATTTCACCTCACTTTCTGTCCCTGTGGTAACTGGTTTTTGAAAAAAATGACTTGATGTGGAAACAAGGAGTGGTGAGAAAGGTTCAGTTGAGACACCTTTTCCCCATGATAACTCTTTCATGATAGGCTACCAAAATTGTGCCTGTTAGAGCAGACCAAAAACCAACATCAGTCCTCTTGGCTAGTGACAAAATACATCAGGAGTTGTGGACTTCCAATTCTATATCCAAATCTCCTAAAAGAACTAGATCCAAAAACAGTGGCACAACGAATACAGGGTATAGAAGCTCAGAAAGACATCGCCACCCTTAGTAAAGCTGGCTCACTACAATGGTTAAGTCGCTTCAAACATACTTTTCAAACAGCCGAATACCTAAAGACAGAAATGCCTAAACATCTAAGGAGGGTATTCACTAGAACCAGATTTGAACAGACAGATACGATGGTTAAACATGGAAGGTTTAACCAAGTTCCATATAATGAACATTTCTGTATCTGTGGGGCGACAGAGGTAGAGGATATTACACATGTACTGTTTAGTTGTATTTTGTACAACAAAGAGAGAATCATAGAATCAAAGAGTTGGAAGAGACCTCATGGGCCATCCAGTCCAACCCCCTGCCAAGAAGCAGGAATATTGCATTCAAATCACCCCTGACAGATGGCCATCCAGCCTCTGTTTAAAAGCTTCCAAAGAAGGAGCCTCCACCACACTTCGGGGCAGAGAGTTCCACTGCTGAACGGCTCTCACAGTCAGGATGGACTGTGATGTTCAGATGGAATCTCCTCTCCATCTTGTAGTTTGAAGCCGTTGTTCCGCGTCCTAGTCTCCAAGGAAGCAGAAAACAAGTTTGCTCCCTCCTCCCTGTGGCTTCCTCTCACATATTTATACATGGCTATCATATCTCCTCTCAGCCTTCTCTTCTTCAGGCTAAACATGCCCAGCTCCTTAAGCCGCTCCTCATAGTGCTTGTTCTCCAGACCCTTGATCGTTTTAGTTGCCCTCCTCTGGACACATTCCAGCTTGTCAATATCTCTCTTGAATTGTGGTGCCCAGAATTGGACACAATATTCCAGGTGTGGTCTAACCAAAGCAGAATAGAGGGGTCCAATACCTTGGACCATTCATTATACAGAAGACTCGCTGGGATCCTCATATCAAAACTACATTCTTAATGGCTGGCCAGAATGCTAAGATAACACGCCAAACAGCCATTTTCCTTCATAAAGCAACACAGCTGAGAACTGCGTATCTGGAGGAGATTGGGGTAAACTGTAGGGGTGACGCAGATATCTGAAGTGGCTTGGGATTGTGTAATAGTTGGTCTATTTTAATCTTTGTTTTAACTTTCATTTTTAATTTTTGTGGTTTGAAATTTTACCTTGGCATTTTAATGATATTTTTAATTATCTTTTAACTGAATCAAGTTTGAATGTATGTTAGTTCACTATTATGGGAGTCCTAGGATAGTGATTATTGTCTATTTGTGTACGTTTCTGTTTTTGTTTTTAATGTTGATACGGTCAGTGGACTAATCAATAAGCTTTGCTTTGATAACTCTTTCAGCATTGAATTTCCTTTCCGAAGGGTAGCTTTCTCTCACTTTCTGTTGTCTCACACTCTTTCTTAACTATGAGTCATTTATAGGTTGGATGTTTGAAACTTGGGGACTGCCTCTATTGGCTAAAAACAGATGGGAGGTTTAATCCAAACACTTCTGGAGTATAACAAGTTACCCATCCCTTCCATAAAAAGCTAATGAAATCCAGCAATGTTTTTAAGACAAGTGTTTTCTTTTTGTAGCACTGGTTGGACCTTTCAAAACCCATTAAGAAGCAAATAAAAAGTAAGTATGATGAATCTGAATTTTGAATCTGAATGTTTCCGAAGTAGAAAAATCAAATTATGCTCTAGTTGTTATGTTACTAAATTTGTGGTATTAAGAGCCAAGTAGGTGTGTGTGTGTGTGTGTGTGTGTGTAATGAAGCTTTAAGCATCCTAATTCATCTACTGATAACATTTCATGCAATGATTAGGAATGTGGTTAGGAATATACAATATGATCCAGAACTAACAATCAAGGCAACTTTTGAGTTGCTTGAGGGAGGAAGCAACCGGCTGTAGCCCCTCTCTCCCAAAGAAATAATAGAAAAGGAGGATTGGGGTAGGAATTGATAAGGGCAACAGGGAACCTTGCAGAAACTGGCAAGGCAATCTTGGGATGTTGTATTTGGTCATTGAATTATGAAGCCCTACTGTACAGTTATAATGTCAAAGAGGAGAAAGAGTTAGGGTTATTGGTTGGCGGAGGGAGGACTGGATGAAAGTTCAGCTTACCTTATCCAAGTGTTTCTGTTGGTATTAAAATGATATGCATTCTTTAGATATGAGCTTGGCAGATATGTGATGAACCCATTTTGTTTGCCTTCTCTCCTCTTTTGTTCAGTCTCTGTTTGATGTCACTCACTCCTCTGATCATACTAGAAACTTTAACCTTGCCTTTGCACATTGAAATGAGTATTTTTGTTGATTATTGCATGACTTCTCATTTTAACTTTTAAAACATATTTATTTATATAGGTGAGCCACCAAATCTGTTTCAATTTCGAATCAAATACTACTCATCAGAGCCAAACAACCTACATGAGGAATTCACAAGGTAGAAAGTAATTTTGAATTGCAACCCTAATATCTGAAATAGAGGTGCCACTGAAGCTAAATGTTGGATTTTGCTATTCTGTCATTACTTTATAAGAATTGTATGCAATCTTTGCTTAAATAAGGGTTACATCAGCTGTTGCCAATTTGTTGCTGATGTTTTTGGAAATCTTCATTCTTAGCAAGATTGGTGCCTGTAATTAAGACTCTGCTGGACCCTGTTTAGGAAAACTTTGCAGACTTATGCAATTGTCCTTTGATTAGTGACTTTGCTTTCAAAACATCAGGGCTGACTGTTGTCCAGTAATGGTTGAAAGAACCTGTCAGAGCAGCTTGTACTCAAATCCCACTTCTCTAGATTAAATGTGACACTAAACTTCACAAACTACCTAAAGATATTGGAAAACTGAGAACTGACCACAAGCAACAGCTAAAGAGGACAGTTTTTTATGTATTTATTTATTTGCTGTATTTATATCCCACCCTCCTCACCCCGAAGGGGACTCAGAGCGACCTTACACTCGGCAGTAATATGATGCCAGTTCTTGGATTCCTGTATTTCTTGCATAGCTAGAAAAGTTATACAGCTAATATGTAAAGCAGCAGATATTCTGGCTTTTTACAGAATTGCTGTGATGCAATAAACAAATGAATACTTTATTCATTTTTAATAACTGTACATTACCTTTCAAATTGGGCTCCTTTCTTAAATTGTTTCTAGAGTATTGGCAGCAAATGGTCTATTTAAATCAGGATTTGAGGTATACCACAAAAGGGACTCAGGATCACATGTACTAACCTTCTGCAAGATTTCCATCCTTGCTGCAGAGCAGGCGTAGGCAAACTAAGGCCCGGGGCCAGATAATGCCCCCTGGGCACTTATCTCAGGCCCTCCTCATTTTTCCTGTCCTTTTTCCTGTAAGGCCCGCTGCATCCTTATGCAGAAAGGACATGTATGTTTGATGTTTATAACTCAGGAATTGCCTGCATTTCCCCTGATTCACAGAGTGTTAAGGAAGTTGCTATTCCAGGTTAAATGAGAGCTGGAGAATTCACTGATTGCTGGTCCCCATTTGTTCCTTCCAGTACCCATGTTCGTAGCCCCATGTCTATCAGCTTTGTAGCAAAATGCAGCTGATAAATTAGTACTTTCTACATTCTTGAGGAAGCCAGACACCAAATCAGAATTCAGTAACTGAGGCTGGATCTACACTGCCATGTAATCCAGTATCTGTTCCCAGATTAACTGCTTTGAACTGGATTAAATGACTTTACACTGCCCATTGTAGTCTCCCTCTTCCAAATTACTTCACCACATAAGCCACCCAAGTGCTACATGAAACCAAAACATTGCTGTGTAGTTCCCATTCCACACTTGCTGTAATCTTAAATAGTAAGATTCCCATTAGGGTCAAGCAGTATACAGCACTTGTTTGTTATGGATGTATATGTTGAAAAAACAGCTCCCAACTTTATACTAGAACCCGAAGCAAATAGCAGAATCCCACTATAGGCTTATCCTGATAAGAGGTTTCAGTTCCTAACTCCTGCCATTGAGATCTGTGGGATGAAGTAAGCACCCTGCAACTTCACTTTACCCAGGAATCACCTGAGAAAAGGGACTTGCGATGCACAGTTCTTCTCTTTGTGTGAACCCATTCTGTCATACTGATGGGCATTTTACTAGTCAAGCTATTTTAAAGTGAGGTAAATTGCACATCCATGGTATAGAAACTTTACAACTTTATAAAAATTTAAAGTGATGTTGAAGTATTTCACTTCTGGCAGAGAGTTAGCCTTTTTATTTTCATCATAATGTTGCAGTAGTATTTGCATGACCCACTCACTTCAGAAGACCTCCTAAGAGCAATTTTTTTGGTTATGAATTTTCTCTGCTTAAAAAGTCACAGGCGTACATCATTTTCAGATGCCAGTGTAATATGGTGGTTTGAGCTTTAGACTGTGACTCTGGATACTGAGACTCAGCCATGGATACCCACTGGATCACCTTAGTCAAGTCTCAGCCTCAGAGGAAAACAAAGGCCCCCCCCCCCCCCCCGAACAAAACTTAGCAAGAAATCTCCACAACGTGTTTGCATTGAGGTCTCCATATTTTGGAATGGCTTGAAAGCACACAACAACATTATTGTATCCATACAGATAAAATTTGACTAGTGGGAGGAATTTATCTGCCAGGTTATTACAACAGGCTATACTGGGTGCAAGAAGAGAAAAGGTGAAAACTACCATATTGGCAACTATTTTCTTATGTTTCTACTTCTATCGGTTCACCTAGAAAAGGAATGTTTAACTTCTTGTCAAAATTTTGTATATTTAATTTATTTAACAAACATCTCTGCAAGAAACCTCAAATGGTAGGAGTACATTCTAATTCTGCGCATTCTTTCTAAGAAGATATGAAGCTATTATGTGTAGTGATATCAAGACTAAAATTTACCAAAATGCTTCTAGAAGTGACTTATAATGTTTTCTGGAAACTCTTTAGAAAGTGCTGATCTGAGTTCAAGACATTGTGGAACAGTTAGAACTATTTTTTTTCTTATATATTTGCTAGGTACCTGTTTGTTTTACAGCTGAGACAAGATATTCTTTCAGGAAAGTAAGTTCATAATCATTTTTATAATTATTATACTAGAATCACATTTTCTGTCATAAGATGCTCAAAGTTTTTTTGGTGTGTTTTTATAGCATTTTTTTTAAAAAAATTGTATAATACATAGAAACATACAATCTTTGAAATTAACATTCAAAACACCAGTATTTTCCCCAATATTTTGCTTCCCATGTCCTTCTGCTTTGACTCGTCGTATAGTAACCTTTCCTTTTGCTAATATAATCTTGGAGAAGGTAATCCGCTAGATATTTATATCAAGTTTCTATATCCCATTTCTTGTGGTCCTTCCAGCCCAGGTCCACTGAGGCTTTGATTGCCTCTATCATGTGTTTTATTAATTTCTCTCTTTATATACCCCTTTACTTTCCAATTTCTGTGTGAAAAATTGAGTCTTGTTCCATTCTATATTTATTCCTAATAGCTCCTCCATTTCCTTCCTGATTATTTCATGGAACTTTTTGATTTTTTTGCATTCCCATCACATGTGGGTGTATGTTCCTATTTTTCCGCAGTTATGCCAACATAATTTTGGGCACGTTTTCATAATATGCGCCAATTGCATGGGAGTTCTGTACCATTTTGTCAGTATTTTCCGTTGCATTTCTTTAATCTTTAGATGTTTTATTTTATTGATTAAATTCATCCAATTGTTTATTTCTCTCTCACTGCAACTTAATTCCTCCTTCCAGACTTCTATTAGGGTAGGTTTTGTGTTATATTGTATTTCGGTGATTATTTTATATATAAATCCCATTATTCCTTTATCCTTCTCAACTTTCCATTTTATTATTTTGTCAAGATTTGTTTCTGAGGTTTCCTTAGTCTTCAATTCTGTTAACTTTTTAGACAGCCCTCCCCATTGTAACCAATTTCCAAGCCCGCATTTATCTTTTATTTCCTCCCATTGAATTACAGTTCCATCTGGGTTCAGTAAGTCCTCAATCTTTGTTATTCCGTTCTGTTCAATGGCTTCAAACTACAAGAGAGGAGATTCCATCTGAACATTAGGAAGAACTTCCTGACTGTGAGAGCCGTTCAGCAGTGGAACTCTCTGCCCCGGAGTGTGGTGGAGGCTCCTTCTTTGGAAGCTTTTAAACAGAGGCTGGATGGCCATCTGTCAGGGGTGATTTGAATGCAATATTCCTGCTTCTTGGCAGGGGGTTGGACTGGATGGCCCATGAGGTCTCTTCCAACTCTTTGATTCTATGATTCTATGTTCCAGTTTCTTTAGCATAATTGCGCAGTATCATCATTTTATATGCCTTCACCCTTGTTGTTATATCCCAATTTTTTCCAATTGTTGATTTGTTTGCTTACTTTCTTCCATAGTTGGTTATAATTTATCTGAATTATATTATTTAAATTTTTAGGTATATACACCCCTAGGTATTTTAACTTCTTTTCCCCCAGTTTGACCCCTAGAATGGATTGGACTTCTTTTACCTCCTTCCAGTTCATGTTTTTATGTAGAATTTCTGATTTTTCAATATTAATTGTTAAGCCTGAAATCTTTTCAAATTTTTTAATTTCTTTTGTTACTTCGTTTAAAGAATTCTCCGTTGACCCTATAAGGACTACTGCGTTGTCCGCATATAAATTTATTTTTATTTCTTCTCTATCTATCTTATATCCTTTTATGTTTTTGTTTGATCTGATTAGATTGGCAAAAGGTTCTATCACTAGGGCAAAGAGTAGAGGGGAAAGAGGAAAACCTTGTTTGGTTCTGCTTTTGATTTCAATAGTTCTAGAATTGGATCCATTTACTATTACTACAGCTTGATTATCTTTATACAGTTCATTAATTACTCCATAATTTTTTCCTAAGTTACTCTCCTCACATAGGTTGGCCAAATAATTATGATTTATTGTATCAAATGCTTTGTAAACGTCTAATTTTATTAAAAGTAATTTTGTTTTCTCTCTAGTTGCAAGGTCAATTACATTTACGATGTTTCTAATTGTTCTAATGATGTTTCTAAAATGTTCTAAACATCGTACATTTACGATGTTTCTAATTCTAATTCTCTTTTTTTAATAAAGCCATATTGATCTTCCCCAATTAGAATGGGTATTAACTCTTTCAACCTATTTGCTATTCTTTTTGTGAATATTTTATAGTCCACGTTGCATAAAGTAATAGGTCTATAGGAGTTAGGGTCAGTCCCCTCATTGTTTGGTTTTAAAAATGTTATAATTTTGAATTTTTTCCATGTGTCTGGAATTAATTTATTTTCCATGATTTTATTATATAGTATTAGTAAGTTAGGGGTGACTTCCTTTTGAAAAAAATTATAGAAATTTGTAGTAAGCCGTCGAAGCTGGTGAGGAATTAATTTTTAAGTTTTTTATTATCTCCTCTATTTCATCGCTAATTATGTTCCTGTCCAGTGTTGCTAAAGCTTTTCATAATAATTGGCCATTATCTCCTTTAGGTCTTCCTCGCTTGTTTTTATTTGGCCCATCTCATCTTTCAATTTAAAGATTTTTGTTTTCCTTTGTTTCTTTTTTAGGAGATTTGCTAATTTCTTTGTGTTATTTATGGAGTCTGTCTGAAAGTCGTTCTTGACCCAGATATATTTCTTTGTACTCTCAATTTCCTCCAGGTTTTCTAGTTGTTGTTTTTTTTACTCTTTCCATTTCTCTTTTTCCCCCACCGTTTGGTCTTTTTGAAATTATTGGAATGCTTCTTCTTCTTCTGACCTCAATTTCCTTAATCTTTCATTTTCCCTTTTATTTATACATTTGTTATACATTTTCCTCTAATTACTGCCTTGAACGCATCCTAAACGATGCTTTCTTTCATTCCAGGGGTTCTATTTTAGTTAAAATGTTGGATAATTTGTTCTTTCCTCTTTATAAGCAACTTTTGGGTGAAATCTCAATTTTTTCACTTTGTTTATGGTATAATTTCCTAATTTTAATAGAGAGGTGTGTGATCTCCTGGCCAATGATTGCTCACCAAAAGTTCTTTTATTGGCATTGCGTTGTCGATACCTACCAGGAAATAATCTATGGTAGAAAATGTTGAATGCCTGTGTGAGTGGTGTGTAGAGTATCTGTTCTTTCCCCTATTCTATTATTGGCCTCTATTAAGTTCCACTTACTAAAATTTATCTTAAATTTCCAGTTCCATTACTCTTCTTTTTTTTTTGTACAGTTGTAAATTTAGGTCCCCACCAACTATTATATCTCCTGATGCATGTTTTTCTATTTTTGAGCAAGTTTTGTTTATGAATTTTACTTGTTTCTGATTTGGGGCATAGACACTTGCTATTGACACCTGACTATTTTTAATTTTACCTACTATCATTATAAATCTACCTTCGGTATTTTTAATTACCTTTTCCAGCACAAAGTTTAGATTATCCTTTATAAGTATGGCCATCCCTCTGGCTTTATTTGAGCCACTCAATTTGTACTGTATATCTCAATTTTTGTTGTTGAGAAATTTGGATTTGTCTCTCATTTTTTTGTGTGATTCCTGAATTATTGCGATATGTACTTGGTTTTCCTTTAACAGTTTGGATAGTTTGTGTCTCTTAACTGGTGTCAAAAGCCCATTTATGTTTACCAACATAATATTGATACCATCATCCATCATGATTGGTTTGTTCTTTTGTCACTTTCCACAAACTTTTATAAGTCCATATTACTATTCTGTTTTTAATTGTTCCCTCTTTTCCCTTCCCTGTATCCCTACCCTCCCTTGCTCCCTTTACCCCCTCCCCCATCTGGCTTCTGATTCCCACCCCTGAACCAAGGGAGGAATGGCTGAGTGTAATATCCTCGCCATCAGCCAGAATATCATGAGAGCAGGGTCCCCTGCTGCTCAAAGTACATCTATTAAAAACATGGCCAACAAGATTTTAAAATCAATTCCTAGTATTATGTAGAATAAACTTTAGTAATCACATCTTTTCATGCAAACAAGACAGTTAATTTCAGTTCAGTCAATTAATCAACTTTATTGTGATCAAAGAACAGTCATCAAAGGACAAAAGCAGAACATGGTGAAAAACAAATGTTAAACAAGGTTACAAAGCAGTTCTAAGATACAGCAATTACATTGGTGGAAGTTCTGCAATCAGCTTTTAAAGCAATATATAGTGGCATTCATTAGGGTTAAAGGGAGTCATAATTTCAATTAATGAAAAATTTAGACAGCAAACCAGTTTCCAACAGACCTCACAACCTCTGAGGATGCCTGCCAAAGATCCAGGCAAAACGTCAAAAGATAATGGCACATGGCGATACAACCCGGAAAACTTACAAAAACCCAGTGAGTCTAGCCATGATAGTCTTCAGTACTTTAACCATTATCTTCCTACATTTCTTCCTTCCCTTAGATTACACTACTAATATGTAGTAGGATTTGAGTGTACACTCTGTGTACACTCATAGGTGAGAACTTTTATTTGTATGAATCTTAATGGTATATAGTATCAGTTATGTAATAATAAATAATTTATTTTAATCTCAGTTTTCCCTTTCTATGCCATTTGCAGATCCACAAATGCACAAATGGATTAGTGAATTGAACCAGGGTGACACAATGTTTCTTAAATTAGCTATCAGCTTGTTTTGAGATAAACACACTGAAGAGAGGAAAAGAGAATTAACACTTAACAGTCTAGTTATTGCCAAATACATGACCTAGATATAGTATTGCGAGCTTTTACAGAGACTCAATATGCAAATCTACAAGAAACATGCAACAGCAAATAAAATATTAGAAAACATGGCATATAATATTTCAGTTGACACCATTGGCTACTGCTCTTTTGAGAATTGAAGTTGACTTTCTTAATCTGGCACTTTCCAGATATAATCAAATTTAGCAATCTGAATGAAGACTGGAGGTGGTGTGATTTGTAGTCCAGTATATCTGGGAAATGCAAAATGGTGGTATCCAGACCTAAAATTTGCCATTTAATATTCAATAGCATTTTTGCCTCTGATCTGCTCCATCGTTTTTTGTCATTCCACCTCCATTTACCCACAGCAATGCTGTTGACTCACCTCCCAAATACTGTGGATTGTTTAAGAGGCGGTAGCTTAGAATGTGGGGAAATGATTCTAAAATGCTCTTTAAATAACTTTGACAGGCAGTTGGTATTAATTTTTACATCCAAAGGTAGCAGTGTTCCTTTTTATTACATACGAGTTATTGTGTTATTCTCATGAAGTACTCAATAAAAACCACAATACAGAGCAGCAGCAACTATCTCAAGGGGGTGGGGGGAGCAAAGGCATTCTTTATCACTTAACCTAGCTATGTCAGACGACAATGCAGAGCCAGGAACAGGAGAAAACATGCAGTAAAGAAAATGTAAAAGATCAGTCCATGAAATTATTGGGCTGGTGCTTGTAGATAATTTGGTGACATGGTGCTTTGCCCATGATGCTGTCTTTCCAAAACAGGTCTAAAGGTATGATAGTAATGGGAAAGGGTTATAGTAATTTTCTTTAACCCGTATTGATAATTTTTTAATGTCTTTTTCTCCATAATTGTTGCCACTCTGTTTCATTTATTTTTATCCCTAAATCTTCTTCCCAGACCTCCCTGAGGATGTTGTTTTTTGTTTTTCCTTCCTTTATTTCAATTATTATCTTATATACTTTACTAGTTATTCCTTTCAAATTTTCATGCTCCTCTATAGTCCTTCCATTTTGCATTATTTGTTCAAATTGGTTAAGCTTACTTCCATTTTTATTATTTTTTACCCAGTTTGTAAACCATTGTTCTAATTGTATACAATGGAACCATGTCAATTTTATTTCTCTAAATTCTTCCATAATCATTTGCTTCTTCATTCCAACCTTTATCCAATCCCCTATTTTGTCTAAGTTTTTTCCCTTAACTTTTTATCCATTACTTTTTTAATTTTTTTGGAAATTTCTTTTCTATTATAATTGGGGTTATTATTGAACCATCCGCTATTAACATTCTCCTATATTTGTTCCATACTTCCAATATATTGCTCAACATTGAGTTTCTAATTTCCCTAGTTTCTTTTCTCATAAACGCTTTAAAAATATATTCCAGATTTCTTCCTCCACTTTTTCCAAATCCTTTTTTGGCTAAGAAAAGTTATTTGCATATTTAAAAAATGTGTAGTCTGCTCCTCTTCTGAAAAGTTTCCTGCAGTGGATTACATATAATCAGTAAAAATAAGTATCTGTCTCTTTACTTTTAAATGTTTAGAACAAATGTAAAAGTACTTCTTAAAAATATTTTAGAACCCAAGGGTAAAACAGAGATAGCAATTTCAAGGATCAAAGGCCATGTAAAACACCTCCATTTTACCTGCCCACTGAAAGCTCACTATAGGTGGCAGCACTCAATTTGCCCTGAATCAAATGTGGGAGAAAGGGATTATGAAGGGAGACAGGGAATAAAAAACCTGGGGATCAAGTCCTAATCATACATAGTCCTCATATTGACTAGTTGGAATTTGAACAGTTCAGAGCCAAGTGGAATTTCAGCAGATGGAATGGTCCTTCTTCCAGTCTCTCCCTTCATTATGACATAATGGAATAGCTGGTGCCAGAGGGAGATCTGATAGATCTAGGTTTCAGCAAAGCTAATGGAGTAACTATGCTTCTCAACTCTACTCCCTGTATTTTTAATTACCAATAGTTATGATTATGAATTATGTAATGAATGAGTAAAATGTAACATTCATTCAATGAAGATGAATACTGAGAAATACTATTTCTACTGACGAAAACACTCTTTTTCTTTAAAGATTGAAATGCCCTTATGAAACAGCTGTAGAACTTGCAGCTTTGTGCCTCCAAGGTATGTCTAAAACTAGTTTAGTCTGTTCAAAATGTTGACATGAGACAAGATTCAGAGTTTTCAAAATCACTTGAATTGTTGTAATCTCATACTACTAATGTACATAGCACATTAGGTTTATATCCTGTACATTAAGTGGGATGGTGCCAGCAGTCATGGCTCTTTTGATCCAAAGAACTGGTCTTAATAGGAAAAGCTAGAGAAGTCAAGAAGTTGTTGCCTTTTTTCTGATTTGACCTATTCCTGACAGTGTCTGGTCAGAGTCTGATGTCAAGAGAAACATTTCCATTCAACCTGCTTTACATATTGGTTGCTTAGAGTGAGATAGAAAAACACAGACTTATTTTTTTCTTGTAACATTAGATGTTGGTTGAGACTCATGTTATTGACAATGAAACAAATGTACCAAATGTGCTGATCCTAACTAATTGATTCAATGAAAGTATTATCATGCTTACCTAAAATGTGTTGTCTCAACTCTGAAGATTGCTTACATTTTATGTTTCCTTAAGAAAAAAGTATTTATAATCTCTTTACTAAAAAAGTGTAGAATATTTGTTTTCTCCAGCTTAGAACAATATAGGAAAAAGCAGCAAAAGTTTTGCAATTCCTGTTGGGAAGAAAAGTCATTACTTCTATAAAAAAAAATTAAGGAAAACAAAATCCCTATTAGAGAAAAGTGACTATTTGAATGCTTTCTTAAATAGTTATTCATTTCAGAAATGTTCTGTTCATGGATTCAAAGAAAGTCTGAGTACGTTGTATCCATACCCATCTGTGCATTCAGCAGCTGCTCTCATACTGGCTGCCTACACATGGACCAGCATTCATAAATACAGATTCTCCACTATCCACAAAACTGACGTCTCCCTTCAAGGCTGGCGAATGTGAAAAGCAATAACCAGCTAGAACATGATTGTAGATGAGCACAAAGATCAGACTTCTATTATAGAGATCTGGCTGATGCTTCTAGGGAGAGACCAGTTCCTTTCATCACTGAAACCAGAGGTTTCCTGTGTAGCAGTGAGATGGAGTTGCAGTATTTAGTATATTTATATATATATTTAGTATCTTATATGCCACCTTTCTCACTCCTGGGGGGACTTAAGGCAGTATATTGTGATTCCATCCCTCTCAGCAAGACGTCATGTATGAAAGTATGCCTGGGGTAGAAAAGGGGATCATTTTGGTATACTGTCTACTAGGCTTGATTGATAAAAAAACATGGTTCAAAACTCGTTTCGGATGTAGGGGGCGCTAGTGGTTGGTTTCGAAATTGAATTTCAAATTTTTCCAAAAGAAAATTTGGAATTGAATTCTGAAGTTTTCCGGAAAAAAATTCAGAACTTTCTGAAATTTCCAAATTGCTTCGTTAATGGTGAACGCAATCGCGCAATACGCAAAAAAAAAAAGAAAAAAAAAAAAGAACAGCAAATGGCACAGAGCTAACTTCAGGGGATTCTCTCCCCCTCATTTTTAGGCCAATCCTGATGAAACTTGCAACATTAGTAGAAAACATCCTCCTCTGTCAGCACACCAAATTTCAACATGTTCAGATAATCCACAGATTTTTGACAATTTTTAAAGTAATTTTAGTAATAAGTTATATTACAAGAAAAATAAAAGAGCTGCCTCCTTGATTCTTTATGGAAATGTCAAAAGGTTATAGGGGAACCCGATCCCCAACTTTCTGATATTTATACTTCTGATATGTATCGTTGGAGCAAGAAATTTTTCCATATGGCTTAAAACAGGCTGTGGTCAGACCACTCCTGAAAAAGACCTCCCTTGACTCCACGGTCTTGAATAACTATAGACCAATCTCAAACCTCCCTTTTCTGGGCAAGGTGTTGGAGCGGGTGGTCGCTGCCCAGCTCCAGGGCTTCCTGGATGACACCAACTACCTGGTTCAGGTCTGGCTTCAGACCTGGCCATGGCACCGAGATGGCTTTGGTCACCTTGGTGGATGATCTACATCTACATGAAACCGTTGGGAGAGGTCATCCGGAGTTTTGGAGTTGGGTGCCATCTCTATTCAGATGACACACTACTACTCTTTTCCACCTAACTCCAAGGAAGCCCCTCGAGTGCTAGACGAGTGCCTGTCCGCTGTGGCTATCTGGATGAGGACGAATAGGCTGAAGATTAATCCTGACAAGACAGAGGTCCTCCTGGTCGATCGTAAACCGGATCGGGGTATAGGGTGGCAACCTGTGCTGGATGGGGTCGCACTTCCCCTGAAGTCACAGGTCCGCAGTTTGGGTGTCCTCCTGGATTCATCGCTGGATCCATCGTTTGAGGCTCAGGCATCGGCGGGGGCCGGGAGGGCCTTTGCACAATTAAGACTTGTGCGCCAACTGCGACCGTACCTCGTGAAGGCGGATCTGGCCAAGGTGGTCCATGCCTTAGTCACCTCTAGACTGGATTACTGTAATGCACTCTACGTGAGGCTGCCCTTGAAAACGGCTGGGAAATTCCAGATGGTCCAACAGGTTGTTAACTGGGGCTCCTTACAGGGAGCGGTCAACCCTCCTGTTCATTAGCCTGTTTCCAAGATAAGCGGAGGTCAGGCCAGCGTTCAACCCTGTCTCACCCTCCAAGATCAGGAGGGAGAAATCCCCAGAGGAGTGATTGCTTGATTGCCCTGTGGACGGCAGCATCCCACCCCACACCTCCAAGTTTTATCTGGCCACCGTTGACCAGCATAACACCCCACCCCACCCCTCCAAGACCAGGAGGGAAGGATCCCCGGGGAGTGATTGCTTGCCTGCCCTGTGGACAACAGCGTTCCACCCCGCCCCAACCCTCCAAAACCAGGAGAAGGGACGAAACCATGGAGGACTGACAGCTTGCCTCCCCTGTGAACACCAGCATTTCACCTCGACTCCCCCCTCCAATACCAGGAGGAGGGATAAATCCCCAGAGGACTGGCTGCTTGTCTGCCCAGTGGATGCCAGGGTTCCACCGTGATCCACCCCTCCAAAACGAGGAGGAGGGGCAAATCCTCAGAAGAGTGATTGATTGCCTGGACAGTGGATGCCAGCATTCCACCTCACCACTCCAGTAACCAACCTCTGCCCCATCAGAAGGAACCTAGTTCTGCTTCATTAAAAGGAACCAGGTCCCGCCTCATTTAAAGGAACCATGTCCTGTCCCACCGCAAGGAACAAAGTCCTGCCTCATGTAAAGGAACTATGTCCTGTCTCATGTAAAGGAACATGTCCTACCTCATGTAAAGGAACCAAATCCTGCCTTGTTAAAGAACCAAGCAAGCCCAGCATTATTTAAAGGAACCAAGCCCAGCCTCATGTAAAGGAACCATGTCCTGCCACATGTACAGGAACCATGTCCTGCCCTACCGCAAGGAACCAAGTCCTGCCTCATGTTGAGCAACCAAGTCCTGCCTCATTTAAAGGAGCCATGTCCTGCCCTCAAACTACAAGAGAGGAGATTCCATCTGAACATTAGGAAGAACTTCCTGACTGTGAGAGTCGTTCAGCAGTGGAACTCTCTGCCCCGGAGTGTGGTGGAGGCTCCTTCTTTGGAAGCTTTTAAGCAGAGGCTGGATGGCCATTTGTCAGGGGTGATTTGAATGCAATATTCCTGCTTCTTGGCAGGGGGTTGGACTGGATGGCCCATGAGGTCTCTTCCAACTCTTTGATTCTATGATTCTAAGGAACCAAGCCTGACCTCATGTAAAGGAACCAAGTCCTGCCTCATGTAAAGGAACCAAGCCCAGCCTCATGTAAAGAAACCAAGCCCAGCCTCATGTAAAGGAACCAAGTCCTGCCCCACCGCAAGGAACCAAGTCCTGCCTCATTTAAAGGAACCAAACCCATCCACATGTAAAGGAACCATGTCCTTCCTCAGCAGAAAAACCCTGCCCCGCTGCAAGGAACCAAGTCCAGCCTCATGGAAAGGAAAAAGTCCTGCAGCAGAAGGGAAGAAAACCCCGCATGGAGGAAAACTGGCATACACAGGGCAGCCAAACAGGCACCCCTTCATTATCTGAAAGATGCCACTCAGTGAACGGGGGAGGCCCAAAGGGTGCAGCACTGCCTTGTTAAAAGGAACCAAGCCCAGCTTCATTTAAAGGACACCCCCCCCCCAAAAAAATTGGAGGAGAACTGCCGTACACAGGGCAGCCAAACAAGCACCCCTCCAGTGGAGATTGTGGATGTCCCCTTAGAGTTAATTTTAGACATGTTCCACCCTGGTCCTCCAAGACCCAAGTCCTGCCCCTGAAGAAGCAAGCCAGTCCTGCCTCAGCAGAAGGAACCAAGTCCTGCCTCATTGAAAGGAACCACAGGGGGTATGTGCAGTTAAAAATGATTAAATCGATACGCTTATTGATTGAATCACATAAGAAAAGATTGTTGCCACTTTTACGTCAAGCCTGCCAAGCCAGTTTACTGTTGACTGACTTAAAGCAACCTGCTTATCGCCCAAAAAGAAAAAAAAACAAGGCCGGCCACGCACAATGATGGAGATCATGCAGTAAGTGTCCGGGGAGACAAACGCTGCCCTACGCAGGGTGGCCAAAAATACATCCCTCCAGGAGAGGAGAAATGCAGGTGCTGCTGGTTTCTGTTCCCTCCACCTTAACAGTAGGGTGATGCCTCTTCATCTGCATACTTAACCCAGATGTCACCAGATGCCTCAATTCTTCTCCCCTGCTGATGGTGCCGCCACAGTGCCTACAAACTGCCAACATGGCCTTCTGAGAATTGACATCAAAATTATCCCAGAAGAAAGACTTGGACCTTCCCAAAGCCACAGCAACTGGTGGTGGATTCTGTCTGCTGGGGCCGGTGGAATAGCTGCGGGGTGGGGGGTTACTGTTTGTTCACTCTCCTGTGAACAGCCCTCCTCCAGATCGCTGTCACCGGAGGGAGAACTGAGGGATTGTGAAAGAGTATAATTGGTTTCATCCGCCCCCACCTGGAATACATCATCATCACAACCCTGTACTGATTGGTCAGAGCTACTTCCAACAGATA